TCAGTAGTCAGGTGAAGGGTATATGCAAATTCTCTACACTATTTTGCAACTCTCCTATAAATCTAAACTTATCTCAAAATAAAAGTTAAAATATGCATATTTCCAAGTTGTTCACAAAAAAGACCTGGAAGCAATTATAACCCAAGAATTATGAGTAAACCAGTACCCAAGTTTTCTTGAAATATTATTCCCCTAAATGATAACAGGGCTTCCTAAGCACAATGGCTGATTCCAGGTTGTAGGACAAAGAAATATAAGAGATAAGCTTTGTATTGTCAGGGTTCTCTAGAGTGAGTGATTATGAAGGCAGCAAGTTCTAAGATCTGCAAGGTGAGCTGGCAAGCTTGAAGAACTAATGGTTTGTTCTCATTTGAGTCCTAAAGCCTGAGAACCAGCAGGCTCAAGAGCCCAGAAAGAGCCAATGTTTTAGTTTCAATTCAATGACAAGAAAAAAAAAGCAAATGTCCCAGCTGAAAAGGCAATCAGGCATGAAGAATTCTGTCTCTATTCAAAGGAAGGTCAATCTTTTGTTCTATCAGCCTTCAACTGATCGGATGAGGCCCACCTATATTAGGGAGGGCATGTGCTTTATACTCAGTTTACAGATTTAAATGCTAATCTCATCCCAAAACAACCTACAGAAACACCCAGAATGATGTTTTATCAATAACCTAGAAACCCGAAGGCGCAGTCAAGGTGACCATAAAATTATCACAAGCCTAGAACATTTTTTTTGACAGAAGCAAGGAAGGTATCAAAGATTAAGGAAATATGTTCAAAAGGCACAGAGGGCTGGGCACAGTGCCTGACACATATAATCAAGCACTTTGGGAGGCCCTACTACTTCTTAACATCTTACATAGATGAAAATCATAAAAAAGTTATCAAAATAGAGAATTTACCTTTGATAGAATACTGTTAACTATGAGATTTATTCAGATTTCATCAGTTTGTCCACTAATGTCTTTTTTTGCTAGTTGAGGACCACAGATTGCATTTAGTTGTCATGTCTCCTTAGTTTTTAGCCTTGAGAGGAATATGACTATGTCCTGAGTCACATAGCATGCTGCTACAACTTCTGCTTTTCCAATTACAGATTAAATCCTCCTTATTCTTGTTCTGTAAATGATTAGGAAAGACACCAGAGATAAGACCCCTCAAGATCATTACCCTTTCTCATGGAATGTTCCTTGGAATGCAACTAATTAAATTGCTATAATATATACACTGACCTTATATGGAAAATGTTGCAACCCTGTTAAGCTTCTCTATCTCTACCTATATAAGTGAAACCTTAACTTCCCCATGTTGGAACAATGACCCATTATTTTGCAGTTTGTGTTTCCTGAGTGGCTATCCTCAAGCTTTGCACTTGAATAAACTATAGTCATATATATGTACACACACACACACACACACACACACACACACACACACACACACATATATATTTTTTTTGAGGCAGAGTTTCGCTCTTGTTGCCCGGGCTGGAGTGCAATGGTGCAATCTTGGCTCACTGCAACCTCTGCTTCCTGGGTTCAAGTGATTCTCCTGCCTCAGCCTTCCAAGTAGCTGGGATTACAGGCATGCGCCACCACGCCCGGCTAATTCTGTATTTTTAGTAGAGATGGGGTTTCTCCATGTTGGTCAGGCTGGTCTCCAACTCCCAACCTGAGATGATCTGTCCTCCTCCGCCTCTCAAAGTGCTGGGATTACAGGCATGAGCCACTGTGCCCGGCCAGTCATTGTTTCTCCTCCATTCTTTGTCTCCTCTAGTTTGTAAGAATTCTTCACTTTTTCCTGTCTTTCATGACCTTGACAATTTTGAAGAGTACACGTTAGTTGCTGTAGTAATTTTCAATTGCTAAGTAACAAATTACCACAAACTTAGCAGCTTAAAACAACACCCATTTATTATCTCAGTTTCTGCAAGTCAGAAATCTAGGTGTGGTGTAGCTGGGTTCTAAATACATTCCCGAGAGATAATTGAAGGCATATATCTACATAAAACTCATACATGAGTGTATATAGCAGCATTATTCATAACACCCAAAAAGTAGAAACAACCCAGATGCCAATCAGCTGATAAATGGATAAACAAAATGTGTTACATCTGTACAACAGAATATTACACAGCCATAAAAAGGAAAGAATTACTGATACATGCTACAACATGTTAAAAACATTATGCTAATTGAAATAAACCAGATACAAAAGGCCACATATTGTGTGAATTCATTTATATGAAATATCCAGAATATGCAAATCCATAGAGACAAAAAACAGATTAGTGGGTGGCAGGGATTGGGGGAAAAGGTGAGAGGAATAGTGAATGACTGCTAGTAGGTTACAGGTTTCTTTTGGGGTGATGTAAACATTCTGGAGTGTTGACATTTTATGCGACACACAAATGTAGACACGGATGTGCTATATATAGTGTGTACACACAATCTTCTATATAGATCTATGGCATTTATAAAAATATATTTATAACATGGCAGCTTTATAGCTGCCATTAGCACAGATGTTTATAATATATAGCAGAATTATTCATAAATGTCAAAATTTAGAAGCAACCAAGATGTCCTTCAATAGATAATGGATAAACTGTGATAAATCCAGATAATGGAATATTATTCAGTGCCAAAATGAAATGAGCTATGAAGCCATGAAAAGATGTGGAGGAATTTTAAATGCACATTACTAAGTGAAAGAAGCCAGTCCAAAAAGGCTCCATTCTGTATAATTCCAACTATGTGACATTCTGGGAAAGGCAAAACTACGGAAACAGTAAAAATGTAAGTTGTTTTTTTTAGGATTTTAGGTGAGGAAGGTTTGAATAGACAGACCACAGAGGATTTTTAGGGTAGTGAAATGATTGTGTACAATACTATTATGGTAGATACATATGATTATGCATTGCCAAAACCCATAGAACATGTACCACCAAGAATGAACCTTAATGTAAACTATGGACTTTGGGTGATAATGATGCATAGGTTTAAGTAACGTAAATACAGGTTTATTGAGTGTAACAAATGTACCAGTCTAATGGAGGAGGTTGATAGTAGGGGAGGCTGAGCATGTGTGGGGACAGGGAGTATATGGGAACTCTGTGTACTTTCTGCTCAATTTTGTTGTGAACCCAAAACTTCAAAGTCTATTTTTTTTTAAGGATCTGGAACGAAATAGTGGTTACAGACACACAATATTGTGAATATACAAAATCATTGAATTGTGAATTGTAAAAGGTGAATTTTATGCTATATGAATTATATTTCAATTATTAAAAAATAACATGTACTAAGAATATTACATAAATAGCATCAAACTGTAAGTAATCTTTTGGAATTAGCTTTTTTCACTTAGCGTAATTCCTGCAGATTCATCCAAGTTTTGCTTGCATTCTTTTTTATTGCTTCATTTCTTTTTATTGCTGAGTACTATCCCATTGTATGGATGTACCACAGTTTATTTGACCATTCACAGGATGAAGGATGTCTTGAGTATTTTCAGTATTGGCTATTATGAATAAATCTGCTGTAAACATTTGTATACAGGTTTTTAAATAAAAGGTTTTCATTTCCCCGGGGTAAATGGTTAAGAGGTGCAATTGTTGAGTTGTATGATAATTGCATGAAGGCTTTTTTTTTTTAAAGAGACAGGGTTTGCTCTGTTGCCCAGCTGGAGTGCAGTGGCGTGATCGTGGCTTACTGCAGCCTTGAACTCCTGGTCTGAGGTGGTCCTCCCACCTCAACCTCCTGATGTAGCTAGAACTACAGATTTGTGCCACCACACCTGGCTGATTTTCTGTAAAGACAGCATCTCTCTATGTTGCCCAGGGTGGTCTCAAACTCCTGGCCTTAAGGATCCTCCTGCCTTAGCCTCCCAAAGTACTGGGATTACAGGTGTAAGCCACAGCACTCAGCTGCATGTTAGTTTTATATCAAACTATCAAGCTGATTTTCAGAATGCCTGTACCATTTTACATTCCCACGCAGCAATATATGAGTAATAGTTTCATGCCAGCATCTGGGGTTGGCACTGTTTTTTGTTTTGGCCATTCCAATAGGTACGTACCAATATCTCATTGTAATTTTAATTTGCATTTCTTGATGGCTAATGATGTTGAACATCTTTTCATGTGTTTTCATTAGATACTGAATTTAATCAAGCCTCAAGATCTTTCTGCCATTTTACAGGAAATATAAAAGAGAAATAAATTCAGTGATATATCCTGGGGAAGCAATCAGTCAAATGCAAAATGTGGAACATTCTACGGGATGTATGTCCTAATTTCTATAATAAATCAGTGGCTTGGGGGAAAAATGTATGTAGAGAGGTGATTGTTACAGAATATATGAGAGACTTAAGAAAAATAATAATTAGATGCAATATGTGGATCTTCTTTGGATTTTGATTTGAGCAAACCAACTAGAAAAGTATCTTGAAACAACTGGGGAAGCTTGAATATGGACATAGTATTAGACATTAAGGAATTATTGTTAATTAGACATGTTGATGACATGATTGTTTTAAAAAATTCTGATCAGGTAGATATTTGTACTGAATTATTTACATGGTAAATGACATGATGTCTAGGATTGTTTTAGAACACCCTAGCAGAAAAAGAATAAGGGAAAAAAGAGGGAAATGGAAGGTAGAGAAAAAAGATTAGCAGAATGTTGACAGTTTTTGAAAACATGGGTGGTGGGTACCTGAGAGTGTACTTTAATATTCTTCTTGCCATTGGCAATACTTGAAATTTTCCATGATAAAATGTTTTGAAAAAGTCTTTATTAAAACAACATTTTGTATTTTAAAATAAAACATCAATTGTTGGCCTTAAGGAATTTAGTTTTCTGTTACAAAACAAATTCAACCTTGATGAAAAAAATCTGATTCTAGAGCACAAACAACAAAGTTACATTTTTCATTCAGGCAGAAGAAAACAAGAGATTGAAAGAACTCCAGCTCAAACAAGAAGAAAAACTGGCTATGGAATTGGCAAAACTAAAACACCAAAGTCTAAAGGACGAAAAGATGAGGCAACAAGTAAGAGAAAACAGGTATCTTGGTTTCTCTAAATTTCGTTTATTTAGTCTTTATCTTTAAACTCTTACATAATTCTTAGCACCTGAAAGTGAAGTTTCTTTGTTTATATCTTTTCACTTAGTTAATATTTTGCCTGGAAATACTTATTGCTTTAAGTTCTATAAATATTTATTTGAGAAAATAAGTTGTATTCGTGGAAGTGCGAATATTTACAGTGAAAAATAAATATCAGTCCCCCTGCTCTTTCCTTTACGCATAAATTTTAAAATGACCTCTTATAAAAAACGAATTCCTAATCTTAAGAGAAACCTTAGGTAATAACTAGTTTAATTTTATACCTCTACATACATTTCCTACAGTATTTTTGGAATGACTCTTGAGCCTGTGTTTCAGTACCTCTAGTAACTGCAGTAGGAACTTTTAAAAAGTTTAATGTTAAATAATCTTTCCCCCCCTATTGTTTTAAAATTAATTTCTCTGAAATTCATGCATCTATCTTCTTTAGGATGTCCTTTCATACATTTGAACACACTAAATGTTTTCTTCTATAAGTTAACTATCCCTTGCTCCTTCAGTTGTTTCTTATATAACCTGGCTTTAAGTTTATTCATCATCCTGGTTTCTTCTCTGATTACAGTTTAAATTATTAGTGTTCCTTAGTGGTCCCCACCCTTCTGTATAATACTCGAGGAAAGACTGCCAGCTACTCCAGATGACAGGACATTATTCTAGAATGTTTCTTGATCCTGCCTAAGGTCGAATTACTTTTTAGGAACAGCCTTGTCACAGTGTTAATCAAAACTCAGGGCCAAGTAAATGCTAATCATATACTTATGTAATTGAATATATTGGAAATTTACTTTGATAGTTATTACATTTTATCTTAATTGAGCAGGATGTCTACAGAATATTACAGGAACCATGGATGAGCTTCAGGGATTTTTGAACCTTGTTAAATTATATTAATATGTTTGGCAAATGTATCCATGTGCATTTTTCTGGCTCCACAACTCTAATCAGATTCTCTAAGAGATTACTGATCCTTAGAAAAGAAATTTAGAATTACTGCTAAAATCTGCATATTGTTCTAGTCTCAAACTATCTTTTTGGACCCTAATTCTCCAGTCATCATTAGCTGTTACTCATGGTTTTTTTAATCACCTGAAGATGAAATATTTCTTATTTCTAATTCACTGAAAACAAGAATTAAATAGAAGAGCTTTTCACTTGTAGCGATTGCAGATTAGGTTATTCAGATAAGTGTTCCTCCTGAGAAAACATCTAGGAAAAGCATAAAATTAAGATCTGTGAAAGGAAGGAAACCAGAATGTGAGCTTGGCATTTGTGGTGGCATTTCCTCTAGAGGTTTCTGCTGATTCCAAAAAATGGCTGAGAGTTAAGTGAAGCAGAGCTTGGCCAATAAGCATATGGCAGTATGTTCAACAGCGTTCTACAAGCTGTACACTTAAGATTTGTGCACTTTAGTGTGTGTTTTACTTCAATAATACAGAATTAGATTTTATTAGATAGACATAGATTAAGGGATAATCTGTGAAAAGGTTCTGGAAAATATTCAGAATAAAGCATGGAGAGACAAAAGGACAGAAAAATACAGATGAGAATTTAAAAGAGGTATGGACTATGGTACAAAATTCTAGCAGACGTATTAATATAATTTTAGTCCTGGTAGAGAGGTGAAAGAGGATAATACAGAAGCATTATTTGAAGAGATGCTGGCCAGGAATTTTCAGAAAATTATAAGTAATGAAAACTATACTTTCAATTATCCTAATAAAACTTTTAAAATCCAACAGTAATAGAAAATCATAAAAAAAGCAGCCAGAACAAAAAAGATTATTACCTCCAAAGAGACAACAGTAAGAAGTATGACTTAATCCTGAATAGAAACAGTTGAAATTAAAAGAGAGCAGATTTACCTGGGTATGAAAAAAATAGAATGAACGAATAAGACCTAGTATTTGATAGCACAACACGGTAACTAGAGTCAATAATAATTTCACTGGACATTTAAAAATAACTGAAAGAGTATAATTGGATTATTTGTAACACAAAGGATCAATGCTTGAGGGGATTGATACCTCATTTTCCATGATGTGATTATTATGCATTGCATGCCTACATCAAAACATCTCATGTACCCCATAAATATACACAAATATATACTGTGTACCCACAAAAACTAAAAGGAAAAAAGTGCTTGAGTATATACAAAAACATTTACAAGTCACCCAGAATTGTATACCTTGTGAAAAATGTTTTCAAACCAACTCATTCAGTTGAGTACTCTTTCACATAGAGTGTGCTTCCTCTCAGCAGTGTCAGAATTGCTAAGAGTTTTTTTATTTTGTGCAAAAGCCATACTAAAATTTTGACTGTCATGCAGAAATGGACCATATTTCAAATTGGTATATTCATGTGCAAATTGGCAGGTCTAAATTCAGGGAAATGCTCTGGTGCTTAAAATGTATCCTAATTTATTTAAAACCACCTATATTAAGATTAAGTTTTTTTAATGTAAAATAAATTAATTTTTTAAATGCATGGCACATTTAAAAAATCTTTGAAGTTTATTTTGAAAATATTTCTTTGAGCTCAGAAATGATAAGACTCCTGTTAATTGATTTTGGAACACATGGTTTTGTACTCCAAGAAAGTACTTAAAAGATAATTTAATTTTGCTGCTGTTTTTAACTGGAGTTGGGAAACTTACTGTTTATTTTTAGGAATCCTATTTTAAATTATGGCACTAAACAATTAGTTATAATTAATTGCCCAATTAATTAAATGTATTTATTACACAGTTAACACATACTGTTATGAAAGCAAAAGCAAGTACCTCATATCTCATTTATATTTAAGTTCAGCAAAAACCATTTCAAAGAAAAGACAGACACAATTTTTCCTTCTTAATACTATTACCATTACCTTGCTAATACCAGTACAATTATGTTCTGGACTGATAATCAAGCTGTTAATTCATAAAATAGATGAGATGAATTAAAAGAGCACAAAATAACATTTTCTGATAATGTTATTCTCAGAAATAACAAAAGATTGATCACCAGTAGTCCTGCATTAAAGGGAATACTAGCAGTTCTTCATTAGGTATTGATAGAAGAAGAAAAATGATCCCAAGCTTAATTTTGGAACTGCAAGAGGTACATGTGTAGTAAATTTAGGTGAAATTTGAATGTATAAAACATTATGTCTTTTGGGAATTAAAACATGTAAAGAGTTAAAAATATGACAAAAATGAGATAGGAAGTAAATGAAGTTAAAGTCAAGAATCTTGCATTGTCAAATAATAATGGATAAATTTATTCTCCTGGAAACAAACATGCTGTAATTAAAGAAAATATAACTGACTAATAGAGAATAAAATGTGATCATGGGAATTGATGATTCCAAAAAAGTCATGTAAAAAAGAGTTAACATAGCAGGCTTGAAGCTGCTATCTTAGAAAGTCCTGCTTGTAAGTTTGGTCCTTGGCTGGTGTCTGGAAACTGGGCTTTTGAGAAGTTTCTTACCACCTTAACTGCTAAGAGTGACTCACTGTGCCTAAACTGTGAAAACAATATTGACTATACTGAATACCCATTTTCTTTCTGGGAGTCTGAGATTTGGTACATTTTAAGTAGAGGGTGCCTAAGTTACCACCCCCAATTAGAACCCTGGGCACTGAGTCTCTGATGAGCTCTAATGTTGTCTGGCAGACATTTCACACATGACAACTCATTGCTGGAGAATTAAGCATGTACTGTATGTTTCCACAGGTAGAGGCCTTTTCCACCTAGTTTTCTCTGGATTTCACCCCATGTGCCTTTTTCCTTTGCCAATTTTGCTGTGTATCCTTTCTTTAAAGTAAATCATAGCCGTTGAGTATAACTATATGCTGAGTCCTGTATCCTCCTAGTGAATCATCTAACCTGATGGTGGTCTTGGGAACCCCCAACACAGAAGCAAAAGGGAGAGAAGAGAGAACACAGGACAGGGAGGACAAGTAGAAAGAAGATACAACTTGTAAATGGAAACCCAATTATATTAGTAGTTATAGTAAACATATTTGAACCATTTACCAAAATTGATGAAATGTTGTATCAGAATAAAAATAGCAACAGATTTTCAGAGGAATCCATTTATACACAGTAGTTTCTCTGTCCGTAGTGGAATTAAACTAAATTAAATTAAAAAAAAAAAACTAGGCAATCTTTATATGCTTAGGTATTTAAAAATGTGCTTCTACATTACCCTTTGGTCAAAAAGTACAGCTGCTCCTGATGTACAATGGGTTCATGTCCCAATAAACTACATTTCCAATTTATGACAGGTTTATTGGGATGCATCCCCATCGTAAATTGAGGAACCTACTATGAATGCATATGGTTTTCTCACCATTGTAAAGACAAACCATCATTAGTCAGAGACTGTCTATAATCCAAATTGAAATTAGAAAGTATTTTTAACAGAATAATAATGAAAATACCACATAGTGAAAGTGGCAGGATTGGATTGACATTAGCAAAATAGCAGAGTAGGCAGCTCCCAGCTCCCAGTCCATCCCTCCACCGGAAACATCAGAAAACAAGCAGAAACTCTCCGAACCAATTTTATAAGAACTTTGGACAGCATTCAAAGGTTTACTGCAATCAAGTGAATGCTGAAACAAGAAAAAGCCTAAAAATGGTAGGAAAGTTTTGTGATATCTTCACTTGCCCTTTCCTCATTCCCTCCTAGCTCAGAGGCAGGTAGCCCTTGTTCCCAGGGCAGGACCCTGGTCCCTGGTTCAGGAGGAGCAGAGCGGATCTTATTCACAAATTGTTGGGCATATCTGTTCTAACCTACCTTGGGGCTACCTGAAAACCTAACACAAGGCACCTGTTTTACCTCACTCAGAACTCATTTAGGCCAGAAGGACAAATTGTATCTCTGACAAGGATTTAATATCTGAAATATATAAAGAACTCATACAATTCAATAATTTTAAAAACCCAGTTCAAAAATGGACAAAGAACTTAGATGTTTCTCTAAAGAAGATGTTCAGTGAATGACAAGTACATGAAAATATACTCAACATTATTTGTCATTAGGGAAATGCAAATCAAAACCACAAGAAGAAACTTTCACATCTAATAGGCAATTTTAATAAAAGTAGTGGAAAATAATAGGTATTGCCAAGAAAGTGGAAAAATCGGAACCCTCAGAAATTGCTGGTAGAAATGTAAAATGATGGAGGTGCTATGGGAAAAAGTTAAACATAGGATTACCATATGAGCCAGCAATTCCATTCCTAGGTATAAATATACAAAAAATTCAATAGTGAGACTTAAATGGATACTTGTATACAAGCATTTGGTGCAGCATTATTTACAATAGCCAAAATGTTGAAACAACCTGAATGTCTATGAGATAGGTAGATAAACAAAGTGCAGCATATATACACTATACAATATCCTTCAGTTATAAAAAAATAATGAAGCACTGATACATGCTAAAACATGAGTGAACCTTGAAAACATTATACTAAGTAAGCCAGACATAAAAGGACAAGTATTGTATAATTCCACTTCTGTGAAATATCTAGAATAGGCAAATAGACAAAATGTATATTAGGAATTAGCAGGGGTTAGGGAAAGGGAAGAATGGGGAGTTATTGTTTAAGAGGCACAGCATTTCGCTTTGAGGGGAATGAAAAAGTTTTGGAAATAGTGTTGATGATTGCAGATCACTGTGAATGTAATTAACACCACTGAGCTGTACATTTAAAAATGGCTAGGATGGCAAAATTTTGTTACATGTATTTTCACACGGTAAAAAATGGTATAGAACTGAAAAAAAAAAAAAAAAAACCAACTTCTGGCATATAGTTAAGGCTGTTCCTCAAGGGTAGGTCTTAATCTGAAATAACTATATTAGAAAGGAAGACTCCGTCTGGAATTATTAGAAAACAAACTGCAAATTCTCTTTTGGAATGATTACAAGAAGAATGTAGGAGGAAGGCAATAATAAAGATAAGAGCAGAAACGAGTGAGTTAGAATATAAACATAGAGTAGAATAAATAAAGCCAAGAATTGTGCCATAAAAAGGTGAATAAAATTGATGACCCCTTGGTAGGAATGATAGAGTAAAAGAGAATGCACAAATAACCGGTTTTTGGAATGGATAATGGGATATCACTATAGATCATACAAACACTTAATGGACCAAAGCGCAGGATATTGCAAACAATTTTATGAAAATAAATTTGAAAATGTAGATGAAATAGATAAATTCTTAGCACATTTTACCAAACTGACTGGCACAAGAAGTAATAGCTAAATGTTCCTGTAACTTTTAAAGATACTGCATCTGTAATTTAACCTTGTCCACAAATAAACCTACAGGGCTATGTGAATTTTACCAAACATTCAGGACAAAGTAACACCAGTCTTTCATAGTTCTGTAGAACAGAAAAAGAGGAAGCACTTCCCAATTTGTTTTAATCAGATCAGTACCTGAAGAGGATATTATGAGAAACCTGTAGACTAATCTCTCTCATGAATTTAGCTCCTGTAATCTGAAGTATTAGTCAATATGAAATCCAGTGCTATATAAGAAAGATAAATCATCCTGACCAAATTTAGTCTATTCCAGGACTGCAAAGGTGGTTTAACATTTTTAAAAATCAGTAAATGTAGTTCATTTTATTAAAAATTATATGATTAGAAAAAGCCCATTGATATGAATCATCACTCTATGATTTAAAAAAAAAAAAAGAGTGTAGCAAACTAGGGATAAAGGGAATTTACAGCAATATTACCCTTAATAGCAAAATGTTAAACACTTTTCCTCTGACATTGAAAAGAAGACAGGGATGCCTGCTCTGACAACTTCTAGTCATCTTTGTATTATACATACTAATCAGTGCAGTAGGGCAAGAAAAAGCAAAGACAGGTGCCAGGATTGGCATTAAAGGAATAAAACTTTAATTATTCACAGATGATATAATTATATGTGTAGAAAATCCAAAAGCATCTACAAATAGCCGGATGCAGTGGCTCATGCCTGTAGTCCCAGCACTTTGCAAGGCCAAGGCGGGTGGATCACCTGAGGTCAGGAGTTTGAAACCAGCCTAGCCAACATGGTGTAACTCCTTCTGTACTCAAAACACAAAAAATTAACTGGGCGTGGTGGCACACAACTGTAGTCCCAGCTACTCGGGAGGCTGAGACAGGAAAATCGTGTGAACCTGGGTGGCGGAGCTTGCAGTGAGCTGAGATCACACCACTGCACTCCAGCCTGAGTGACAGAGCAAGACACCGTCTCCACACGCACAAAAAAAGAAAGAATCTAAAAAAAAGTAAGAATTAATAAATCATTCTACCAAAAAAGCATATGCACTTATATGTTTACTGCTGTGCTATTCATAATAGCAAAGACATGGAATCAATCCAGTTGCCCATCAGTGGGAAATTGGATGAAGAAAATGTGGTACATATATACCATGGAATACTCTACAGCCATAAAAAGAATGAAATTATGTCCCTTGCAGAAACATGGATGGAGCTGGAGGCTGTTATCCTAAGCAAATTAATGAAGTAACAGAAAACCAAATATTGCATATTCTCACTTATAGGTGGGAGCTAAACATTGATTACACATAGACATATATGGGAACAACAGACACTGTGGACTATGAGAGGGTGGAGGAGGAGTGGGTTAAAAAACAACCCATTTGATTCTGTGCTCACTACCTGGGTGACAGGAGCTGTACTCCAAACCTCAGTATCACACAATATTCCCATGTAACAAATCTGCACATGTACCCCCAGTATCTAAAAGTTGAAATAAAAACTTAAAAACCACTTTAGTAGACAGTTTGGCAGCTTCCTAAAAAGCTGAACATGCATCTACTGTATGACCTGATCATTCCACCCCTAGGTATTTATCCAAGAGAAATGAAAGCCTATGACCACAAATAATTGGTACTCAGATTTCCATAGCAGCTTTATCTGCAATATCCACATACTTGAAAGAACTCAAATGTCTGTCAGCATGCGAATAGATAAGCATGTGAGTGGATATCGATAATCTAAAATAATATCCTGCAATAAAAAGGAGTAAGCAATTACTATATACAATAAATGGATGTATTTGAAAATACTGAGTGAAAGAAGCCAGAGAAAAAATGGTACCTGCAGTATGATTCCATTTATATGAATTCTAGAAAATTCATAATACCTAAAGTGACAGCAAATTAGCTTGCCTCAGGATAAGTACAAACATAAAGGGGTAGAAGAGAGGTACCACAGGTTTATAAGGAAATGATTGGAATGTGTTCATGATCTTGATTGTGGTGATGGTTTCACAGGTGCATACATATGTCAAAATTTAACAAACTGTATCCTTTAAACATGTTCAGTTTATTGAATACTGTACATCAATAAAACTGAAAACTAAAAAATAAATTCAGTGATGTTGGGTATAAAGTTAGTATATAAACATTGTATTTCTGTAAATTATCAACAATTAGAAAATGAGATTTGAAAAATCTGTACAAGAATATGAAAAATACCTAATGAAAAGTATAAAACTACCAAAATAAAACACAGATATAAAACATTGATAGACTTTTAAAAAACCAAATAATTAGAAGGATACACTATGTTTATTGAAGACTCAGTAATGTAAAGATATTAGTACTTTCCAAATCAATTTATGAATTCAGTACAATCACAGCCAGTTTTGTTTATTGTGAAATCTGACAAGCTGATTCTAAAATGTATATGGAAATGAAAGTATCAAGAATGGCTAAGACAGTCTTTAAGAAGATGACAAAAATTGGAGACTTATCCAGGATATGAAGATGTATTATAATTTACGGTAGTTGAGATAGTGTGGTATTGACACAGGATAAGCAAACAGATAAATGTAGTAGAACACAGCAGTCCTTTTCAACCAGAAAATGTAAGCCCTAATGCCCTAACGACTTCCATTAAATATAATGAATTATCTCTCCTATGGATCTAAAATAATAACCCGCTGTATTCCGTCTGAGTAAATTAAAAATACAGTCACTCAGTTTTCTGTGAGGTTTTCATTCTCTTATGGTCCTAACATTTAAATTTTTGTTTTTTTAAACAGCATTGAGCTCAGAGAATTGGAGAAGAAATTAAAAGCAGCTTACATGAATAAAGAAAGGGCAGCTCAGATTGCTGAAAAGGATGCCATTAAATATGAACAAATGGTAATCAGGTTTCTGGTCATTGTTTTTAGCTTCATTTAGAAAATAAAAATTAGACTTGTTCCTTAAAAAACTGTCATATTGTGTAAAGAATTTACATTGCTAGATTTCTTAAATATTTGTAAATTTTCAGATCCTTAAGATGTAGAAAATCCTGGGTGATTTCATTTTTAGTATTAGAGCCTTTCGGAAGCACAGGTTGCTGCTTAGAATGACCAGCTATATTCAGTAACTCCCAGCATTCTTTACAGTCTCTGATTATTCATTGACAAACTAGTACAGTACAGATTGTTAGCACGATAAGTATATTTTAGAATGTTATGACATTTTTAATTTTTTAAATGTGTTTTTTAAGAGTAAACTACTTGATAATTTTATGTAGGAAACTTTCCTGTTTTATAAAAGCCGTCTCTTTTTCTCGTGTTTCTCTTTGCTTTTATCCCCTTTTCTAACTCCTGATAGGGTACCAAGTTGAAGATAAGAGTTACTCTTGGACAAAGGAATCTCAGGCATACTCACTAGGAGTGTTACGCTGTATGAATATAAAATAGGGTTTACTGAATTAACAGTTAATTAAAAGGGTCCACATCATCCCATGAGCTCTCATTATCAAACAGAAGAGCCAGACAATTATATATGAATGTATATATACACATACATATCTATTGTGTATGTCCACATAAACATATGTACATACACACAGACACTCTTATAGGGGTGATATCAAAATACTTAACCAGTGCAGTGCAATATGGGTATCAATTAAGAATAGATGCCATAAATGACACATATATGTGTGTGGTGTGTGTGTACAATTGTGTTAGTATAGAAAATGTCTAGCGGGTACACAGCATGCTGTTAACAGCAATACCTTTAGGTGTGGCAGGTGATAAGAGAAGGTGGAGAGACTTCATTTGCTAAGACATATATTTCTGTCCTTTGAAAAAGAAAGTAGCACAAACAATATCCTGTTTGTCCAGTGGTTTGCAGTTTTAATTATCCTGACAGTTGAGGTTATTCAAGGTAGTTGTAGACGTTTTAATCTGACTCCTAAGAAAATTGCTATTTTCCAAATAAAAATCGATCCACAAAATCAAAGTCAAATACTTTTAGGACTTGACAAGGTGTCATGTAAGTACTAGTTTTGGCTTTTTCTCTGAGCCTTAGTTTTCTTATCTGTAATATGAGAACATTGTTTTCTGTAAGTGTGTGGTAATCTACACGTAAATGTTATTGTCATCTCGTTTTTTAAGAAAGAATTTAGTAGAGCATGTACAAAGAAGATAATCAGAAAAATTTTTGGTCAAGTCATATTATCAGAGTATATGTTAAAGGCTTCAGTCATGTCAGGAATGACATTCAGTATTCATATTTTAATCTGTTTACTCTTTATGTTTGATGCTGCTGACCATTCCATCATTTGGGATGTGATCATAAAAGTAAAGCGTAGTTTAAAAAATTGCCTCAATATATTTCATTTAAAACTTATTTTATTAAATGATTTGAAAAATGCTCAAAAGAAATAAGGGATTTAACCCATCCAAGAAGAAAGACTGTCTCTTGACAATGGGAATGGTCTTGAGTGAATCAAAAGCTGCAGAAAATAGGCATAATAGCATCTGTGATTCTTTTCAGATAAAGGGCCTTTAATAAATCAGAAAGAGGAAACATCAAGGGCCAATGGCAGGAAAGAAAGTTTAGGCTAGGAGCTGCTCAAAGCCATTTAATAGCAGACCTGTAAGAAAGAGGTAGTACCATCTTTAAATAGCAGCTGATAAACAATGAAGCTAAAAATGACGAAAATTGCCTAGCTCAGTTTATAAATAGAATAATAAGATAATGACTGCTTTAGCAGCTAAACAGTTATTAAGAAAGTACTTATAATTTTATTCATTGTTTTTTGAATGTGGAGTTATTAATAATCCTTATCAGGTATTGTCCTGGGAGAGCTACTTGAAAGGAGAGGAAAGCTTCTTTAGGGTCTGACTCATTATTCACACTCTTCAGGTAATAATAACTTCCTTTTGCTTTTTAACCTAGACAGATGAAAAAATTTATGTAAAAGACTTTATAATATTCAATAACATTGGTGTAAATTATACTATCATACTATGTTCAAATTTGAAAATGGAAAGATCAATTTTGTTTGAATAACAGAAACGTGATGCTGAAATAGCCAAAACCATGATGGAAGAACACAAGAGAATAATAAAGGAAGAGAATGCTGCAGAAGACAAACGAAACAAAGTGAAAGCACAATACTATCTTGACTTAGAGAAACAACTTGAAGAACAAGAAAAAAAAAAGCAGGAAGCTTATGAGCAGTTGCTAAAAGAGAAACTCATGATTGATGAAATTGTTAGGAAGATCTATGAAGAAGATCGGTTGTAAGTTTATCCTAACTTTCTTACATGCCTAAATGTTCACTTTAGGTTGATCGTAGGTTTGTTGTGAGGAACTGAAACACCTAGAACTGTGCCTAATACATAGTAAGTGCTCAATAAATATTAGTTATGAACACATAAATTGGGACCAACTCATTGTCATCTCTGTTAGCATGATTAATAAATGAATTATCTGATGATTAATAAATGCTTGTGATTGAATGACCTAAACCTTTGTTTTTCTTATATATGCCCATATCATATGTCAGAGGACATGTATTCTGATGAATTTTTTTGGTAGACAGCTTAAATATAGAGTGCTGCAAAGCTAATGTTTGTAGCATTTATGAAATAAGATGCATAAAACTTCATTAATAGGTTAGAGACTATCACAGTATTTTACCCAAAGAAAAATTCATACCTGGCATTATATTTAGCACATAGTAAGCATTCAAAATGTTTGTTGCATGCACGAATGAAAAAAACTATAGTGTTTTTCTGTACATTATTATGAACAAAATGAAATTACTTTTTTATATTTTATTGTTTATGTTAAATCTGTACTTGTAACTGCTTTTCAGGGAAAAACAACAAAAGTTAGAAAAAATGAATGCAATGCGAAGGTATATAGAAGAGTTTCAGAAAGAGCAGGCTCTCTGGAGAAAAAAGAAACGTGAGGAGATGGAAGAAGAAAACAGAAAAATCATAGAGTTTGCTAACATGCAGCAGCAAAGAGAAGAAGATCGGATGGCAAAAGTTCAAGAAAATGAGGAGAAAAGGCTACAGCTTCAGAATGCGGTATTAAAATAACCACTTCTTTAACACTACTAAATTCTGAAATATTAGTTACAGAATTTGGGTCCTATAAATATTTATGTTTTTTAAAAAATTTAATAGTTGACACAGAAATTAGAAGAAATGCTGCAGCAACGTGAAGATTTGGAACAAGTGCGACAGGAATTATACCAGGAAGAACAAGCTGAAATATATAAGAGGAAGCTAAAAGTAAGTTTCAGAAATGGAAAGAATGATTAACATAAAGAAGGATATAATTTTGAGATGAAGCAGAAGAGAAATAGTACATTTAAATCCAACCATACTGGTAATTACATTATATGTAAATGGTATACTACAGTTAAAAGACAGAAATTTTCAAGCTGGCTAAAAAGATAGACTCAGGCATCAATTTATAAACTATTATAAAAAGCATGATGCAACTATGTTGTCTGTAATCATAACTTAAATATCAAGACACATAGTTTAAAAGCAAAAGGATGGTGAAAGATATATAACATACAGACGCTAGTCAAAAGCAGGTTGGCATTGCTATGTTAATATGAGACAAAGTGAACTTGAGGACAAGCAATTCATGATAATACAGTAAATTCATCTAGAAGATGTAATAGTCCTAAAGGCGTGTGAACCTAAATAATAAAGCTTCACAATACATGAAGAAAAACTGAAAGGAGAAATAGGCAAATCCACAATCAGAGTTCCAAGATTTTTTTTTCTTTTTTTCTTTCCAACTTTTACTTTAGGTTCAGGAGGTACATGTGCTGGTTTGTTACAGGGATAAATTTGTGTGTCATGGGGGTTTGGTGTAACATTATTTTGTCACCCAAGTAATGAGCATAGTACTTGATAGGTAGTTTATTGATCCTCACCCTCTTCCCATCTCCACCCTCAAGTAGGCCCCAGTGTCTGTTTTCCTTCTTTGTGTTCATGTGTACTCAATATTTAGCTCCTACTTACATGTGAAGACATGTAGTATTTGATTTTCTATCCCTGCATTAATAAGCATAGGCTAATGGCCTCCAGCTCCATCCATGTTGATGCAAGGATGTGATTTTGTTCTTTTTTATGGCTGTGTAGTATTCTGTGGTGTATATGTACATTTTCTTTATCCAGTCCACCATTGATGGGTATCTAGGTGGATTCCATATCTTTCCTATTGTGAATAGTGCTGCTATAAATACACACATGCATGTGTCATTATGGTAGAATGATTTATATTCCTTTGGGTATATACCCAGCAATGGGATTGCTGGGTCAAATGTTAATTGTTTCCATTATTTGAGGAGTCACCACACTGCTTTTTACAGTGGTTGAATTAGTTTACATTCCCACCAACAGTATATAAGCATTCCTTTTTCTCCACAACCTTGCCAGCATCCATTATTTTGTGACTTTTTAATAGCCATTCTGAGTGATGTGAGATAGTGTCTTATTGTGGTTTTGGTTTGCATTTCTCTAATGATTAGTGATATTAAGCACTTTTTCATATGCTTGTTGGCTACATATATATCATCTTTTGAGAGGTGTCTGTTTATGTCCTTAGCCTATTCTTTATTTTTTAATTTATTTTATTTTTTTTTTTAGACAGAGTCTCACTCTGTCACCTAGATTGGAGTGCAGTGGCGTGATCTCGGCTCATTGCAAGCTCCGCCTCTTGGGTTCATGCCATTCCTGGGACTACGGGCACCCACCACCATGCCCAGCTAATTTTTTCTTTTATATTTTCAGTAGAGATGGCATTTCACCGTGTTAGCCAGGATGGTCTCAATCTCCTGACCTCATGATCCACCTGCCTCGGGCTCCCAAAGTGCTGGGATTACAGGTGGGAGCCAGCACACCTGGCCAGCCTATTTTTTAAATAGGGTCGTTAATTTGTTTACATTCCTTAGAGATTATGGATATTAGACCTTTGTCAGATGCATAGTTTACAAATATTTTCTCCCATTCTGTAGGTTGTATGTTTAGTCTGTTGATAACTTTATTTCCTGTGAAGAAACTCTTTAGTTTAACTAGGTCCCACTTGTCAGTTTTTGTTTTTGTTACAATTGCTTTTCGAGTCTTCATCATGAAATCTTTGCCAGGTCCTATGTCCAGAATGGTATTTCAATGCATAGTTCTCATTAATCTATAGACTAAGTAGTCAGAACCGCAGGATATAGTGTTGAAAGCAGTATCAATAAATTTGACCTGACATTTAGAGAATACTCCACCCAACAACAGCAGAATACAAATTCCATTCAAACATGGAACATTCACCAAGATAGATCATATTCTAGGACATAAAGGAAGTCTCAATAAATTTTCAAGGTTTTACATAATACCAGATATGTTTTCTGACAACAGTGGAATGAAATTAAAAATCAGTAATGAAAATATACCTGCAGAATCCTTAAATATATTATAATTAAACAATATATTTCTAAATAAGCAATAAGAAAAGGGGAATAAATCATATTGGAAATTAGAAAAATATTTCAAACTAAATTATTTAAAAAACAGCATATCAAAATATGTGACGTGCAGTTAATGCAGTGCCTCGAGGAAAGTTTCTGTCTTTAAATGCATGTATTAGAAAAAAGAATGGTTAAAAATTAATGAGCCTATGTCTACCCACTTACACAGAAATGTTTATGCAGCATTATTCATAATAGTCTAAAAGTAGAAATAACCCAAAAGTAGAAATAACCCAAATGTCTGATGAATGGATAAACAAAATACAGTATATCCATGTAATAAAATGTTATTCAGCTATTAAAAGAATGACAGACTGAGCATGCTAAAACATGGATAAGCCTTTAATTATAAATTAAAAAGTATGTGCCTCAAGAATGTTATATAAATGATATCAAACAGTATGTAACTTTTTCGAGTTGGCATTTTTATTCAGCATAATTTCCTGGAAATTCATCCAAGTTGCTTGTATTGATCATTTGTTAGTTTTTATTGCTGAGTAACATTCCATTGGTATGTATGTACCATTTTATTTGACCATTAAAGGGCATTTGGAATGCTTCCAGTATTTAGCTCTGATGAGTAAACTGCTGTGAACATTGAGGTAAAGCTTTTTGTATAAACATCAACTTTCATTTCTCTGCAATAAATGCTCAAGAATGTATTAGCTGGGTTTTGTGGTAATTGCATGTCAGCTGTGTAACAGACTACCAAAGTGATTTCCAGAACAGCTGTAGCATTTAACATTCCCATCAGAAATGTGTGAGTTACCCAGTCTGTCTGCATTCTCACCAGCATTTGGTGTTGCCACCGTTTATTTTTTAATTTTTTTTCTCCTCTGTCCTCAGAAGCTCAACAATTTTTTATTATAGCCACTTTTAAATATCCATGTAGTGATATCTTGTGGTTTTATTTTGCATTTCCCTGATGGCTAATGATGCTGAACATCTTTTCATGTGCTTATCTGCCATCGTCTTCGGTGTAAGATCCCCTTTGGTGAAATAGTTCTTCGTGTCTTTTGCTGATTCTCTAATTGGGTTGTTTGTCCATTTATTGTTGGGTTTTGAGAGTTCTTCATATATTCTAGATACTAGTCCTTTGTCAGGTGGGTGGTTTGCAAATATTTTCTCCTACTCTGTAGCTTTGTCTTCTCATCCTTTTAACGTGATCTTAGAGCATGGTTTTTCTTAGAGCAAATGTTTTCCATTTCTATGAAGTTCACTTTATCAGTTTTTCTTTTTATGGATCATGCCTTTGGTGTCAACTCTAGAAACTCTTTGCCTAGTTCTTGAAGAATTTCTCCTTCTTTTTCCTAAAAGTTTTTTGTTTTTGTTTTTGTGTTTTGTTGTGTGTGTGTGTGTGTTTGCTTTTCCATTTTACATTTCAGTCTGTGATGTGTTTTAATTTTTGGTACAAACTATGAGACTTAAGTCAAATATGGTTTTTGCCATTGGATTTAGTCCAATTGTTCCACACCATTTGTTGAAGTGGCTGTTTCTCCAACGTTGAATTGCTTTTGCACCTTTCTTAAAACACAGCTGGCATGTTTGCATGGGTCTATTCCTGTGGTCTCTATTTTGTTCTGTTGGTCCTATGTATCCATCCCTCCACCAATACTACACAGTTCTGAATACTGCAGCTATACGGCAAGTCTTAAAATTTTTTTTTCGCTATTCTAGTTCCTTTGCCTTTCCATATGAATTTTTGAAGAATCTCTATAAATAATTTTTGCTGGGATTTTGATAGGAATTGAATTAAATATGAGTATCAGTTTGGGGAGAATTGATAAATTCACTATATTAAATTCATGAACACAATTTGGCTCTCCCTTTATTTAGATCTTTGAATTTTTTTCATCAGGATTCTCTAGTTTCAGCATACAAATCCTGTATGTGTTTGGTCACATCTGAGTATTTCATTTTTTGAGTGATTATAAATGGAATGTTAGCTTTTATTTTGGTGTCCATGTACTCATTGCTAGTGAATTGATATTTTTGTGTTTATCTTGTATCTTACAACCTTGCTGAATTCACTTGTTAGCGGTAGGAATTTTTTTCCCTACATAGTCAGGCATGTCTTCTGCCCAGAGGTACAGGCTGTTTCTTCCTTTCTGATCTGTATATTTTTATTTCCTTTCCTTACCTTACATGCTGGCTAAAATTTCCAGCACCACTGGCTAGAGCTATGTTGAAGAAGAGTGATGACAGTAGACATCTCCTTTCCTTGTTGCTGATCTTAGGGGGAAGCATTAAGTTTTTAACCATTAAGTATAATGTTAATTATAGGTTTTTTGTAGGTGTTCTTTATCAAGTTGAGGAAGTTCTCTTCTATACCTGTTTCTCTGAGGGCTTCTTATCATGAAGGAGTGTTAAATTTTGTTAAATGCTTTTTTCTACTGATACAATTATGTACTTTTTCTTCTTTAACCTAGTATGTTACATTGATTGATTTTTGAGTATTGAACCAGCCTTGCATCCCTGTAATAAACACTGCTTGGTCATGGTGAATAATTCTTTTAATGGATGATCTATTTTCTAATATTGGGTTAAGGATTTGTGCATCCATATTCATGAGGAATATTGGTCTGTAATTTTTTATATTGGTTGCAGGGTAATACTATCTTCCTAAAATGAATGGGGAAATGTTTCCTCCTCTTCAGTTTTCTGGAAGAGATTGTGCAGAATTGGTGTTAAACATTTGATAGAATTTTCCAGTGAAACCATCCTGACTTGGGGTTTTATTTTGGGGGAATTTCAAGTTATTAATTCAATCCCCTTAATAGTGATAAGACTATTCACATTACCTTATTTCATATTTGGTGAGTTTTGGTAGCTTGCGTTTCTCAAGGAAGTGATCCATTTCGTCTAAGTTGTCAAATTTATGTGTGTATAATAATTTGTAGTATTCCTGTATTATCCTTTTGTTGTCTGTAGGGTCTCTAGTGATATCCTATGTTTTATTCCTGATATTGGTAATTTGTTTATTCATTAATTTTTTTTTCTTGGTCAGCCTTGTTAAAGGTCTGTCCATTTCACTGATTTTTTTAAGAACCAGCCTTTTGTTTCACTGATAATTGTCTATTTTCTATTTTTAATTCCATTGATTTCTACAGTTTTCTTTATTATTTTCTTCCTTCTGCTTATTTTCAGTTTACTTTACAGTTCTTTTTATAGGTTCTTGAAGTGGGGGCTTAGATTATTGATTTGAGACTTTTCCTACATACATGCATTTAGTGCTACATATACCTTTTCCTAAATGTATGCATTTAGTGCTATAAATGTCTCTCAGAACTGCTTTAGCAGCATCTCACAAATTTTGCTATCTCATTTTTATTAACTACAATGTATTTATTTTCCTTGGCATTCCCCCTTTGGCCCATGAATTATTTAGAAGTGAGTGACCATTGTAAAATTATATTTTTTAGTATGTATGAAATTTTTCATAATAAAGTGTTCAGAAAATAAAAGCTTATAGGAAAGGACTTAACTGCTCCAACTATATTTGAATTTCCCTAAAGAAGTACTGATTGTCATTGATAGATAATTGTTTTTAAATTTTAGAGAATTTTGGAGAATGAAGGGAATATTAGAAAACTAGATACGGGTAAGTGCAGTTTTGATTTTGAGGAGGACGTTGGAAACTGAAAAATACTTATGGGTGGTTTGGACAGCTTTTGTAATCAAGAATCTAGAATGATTCATAGTTACCATAGATTTCAGATGAATAAACTCAGGTGTGCAAAAAAAGCTTCTGTAACAGCTCTTTTCAAAGCAGTTATGTGTTAAAACTGAGTTGAGAAACAAGATGGTAAATATAAAATTTATTCATGAGTAGCAGAAAACAATCCAAAGGTAAACATATTCTTTATCCAGCTAGTTTTAAAGGGATGGACAATGTGTTATCATGAAAAGCCTTATAACTTTCTCAGTTTGTAATACTAAATTTAACCAATACTAATTTAACCAAACTCTATCACTCTTCCCTTATAAATCTGGTGTAAGCAAAGAGTTACTAAATTAACTTTTAGCTGTATTGTTGTTTAGGAAGAAGCAGAAAAGAAACTGAGAAAGCAAAAAGAGATGAAGCAAGATTTTGAAGAACAAATGGCCTTGAAGGAATTAGTACTACAGGCTGCAAAAGAGGAAGAGGAGAACTTTAGAAAAACTATGCTAGCTAAATTTGCTGAGGATGATCGGATAGAATTAATGAATGCTCAGAAACAAAGAATGAAGCAGCTGGAACACAGGAGAGCTGTGGAAAAACTTATTGAAGAACGTCGCCAACAATTCCTTGCAGACAAAGTAAGAACAAGTTGTGGGGTTTTTTTGGTCGTTATCATTAAACAGCAATTAGCTCATGTATCATCCACTAAACATTTACTGAGAAGCTTTATATGCCAGACAGTGTTAGTATGTTTACTAATATATATATAAATTTTCTGACCATTTTTGCTTCTAGAAAATATTTATTGATGCTTTCTATGTGCTAAACACTGGTTGGTATTGAGAACATGAAAGGTAAATAAAACTAAGTCCATGTCACCCATGAATTTATGGTCTTGGTTAAGAAAAATATATAAAAAGTAATTATAAATATGTCATGTACATGTGATAATAGGTTACAGAGCTATGGATGTTTTGGTATGGCAGAGAGAGAAACAGATCATGAACACCCTGCATGCTATTTTAAGAAGGTGGGCTTTTCTAAGGGAAGCCACTGAAGATTGGAAAGCTGTATGTTAAGATCTGCACTTTGAAAGACAATTCAAGTGAGAGCATTGAAGGTAGATAAGAGATGAGTAAGCTTGGAGATAGGAAGATCAGTAAGTAAGTTATTATAATAATCCCAGTGACAACTGGTGAAACCCATGCAAATGGAGAGGGGATCCACCCAAGAGATATTAAGGATATGGAATTGATGGGGCTTGGTGACCAGTGAGATCTAGAGAGGTGAGAGAAGACTTAAGGATACTACTAATAAATAATACTGTCATTCCATCTTTTTAATTATTTTTGATTATTTTTATTTTAAGTTCCAGGATGCATGTGCAGAACATGCGGGTTTGTTACACAGGTATATACGTGCCATGGTGGTTTGCTGCACCTGTCAACCTGTTATCTAGGTTTTAAGCCTTGTAGGCATTAGGTATTTGTCCTAATGCTCTCCCTTCCCCTTATCCTCCCCTACCCCCCGACAGGCCCACAGTGTGATGTTCCTCTCCTTGTGTCCATGTATTACTACCGTCTTTAATGGGTGACTGGGTGATATTCTAAGGAAAGAGTATAGAGGAAAAGAAATGATTTTGAGGGGACAAATAATTCTATTTTGTCTACCCAAAATGATTTGGGTGGCCCAGGGGAAGATTACTAGTTGGAAATGCAGATTTAAGTGTTGGAGAGGGAATTAAGTTTTTGGCTTTGGACACATTGATTTATGTCTCATCCGTAAAACTAAATACTTATATTCTCTCACTGGATTTTCGTGGTTTAAGAACCAAATGGATAATATGTAGGTGTTTTGAAAACTGGTAGGAAGAGAAGAATTTACTTTTAAAAGGAAGACTCAGTGAGACTTACATGACTTCTTTTAAAACTATACAAAGTAGGAGTCAAAATAATGCAAATGTTTCAAATATGAGAAATTTATGGGAATACAAGTGCTGTTATATTTCAGATTGGAGCTCATCTGTTCTCAGAAGCTAAGCAGAATCAGGCCTGGTTAATACTTCGGATAGGAGAAAGCTCCTGGAAAAATTAGCAAGACAACTAACTAGAAATCAGACTAAAAACTAAATGGAAATCAGATAAAGTCACCTAATGCATAGACACTTATACAAATAATTTATGTCTTAATTTTTAAAGACTTATAAATGTTCCCAATATGAAGCTGTCAGCTTAGTTTTGTCAGTTCGATTGGGCAGCATTTTTGTTCTGCCCCCAAGGCAAGGACAAATCTTCATGATGAAACTCATTAACACCATTATACAATCCTATAAGGTCTAACTATGTTTTCTGGATTTCAGAGATATTCCTAAATAGGTATCTATAATTCTGTCTACCTCTACAAAAATCATATGGTCAGACAAAATCTGAAACTTCCCAGGAGGTAGTTTCCTACCACCAAAGCTATCCAGAATTTGTCCTAAATGGATACGTTGATTTCATAACTACCTAAACTATTTAATTTACTGTAAATTTTTCCTTTTAGGATAAACATTGAATGTGGCCTACCAGATCCTTCTTAGGAAATCCTGCATTAGCCCAAATTAGACTCCACCATTGGACAAAAATCTATCAAGTTTGCTTTCCCCTGTAACATTACAGAACTTTCCTGTATCTCCTCTTTATAAGGAATGGGTGAATTAAGATAGAATTAGGTTTGAATGCAAGTGCAGTCTCAAATTAACGGTGGCTTAGTAGATTACTGTTCTTTCACGTAGTTCAAGTCATCTTTTCTATATGGCCCAGAATTTTGATGTGATTACGAGTATTCAAGAGCTCTTTCCTAAGAAATACTAGTGGAATTCTCATGCTTCATATCTTTTAAAATGTATATATATAAAAAATATATATTTTTAAAATATATATTTTAAAAATATATATATTTTAAATATATATTTCATATCTTTTAGATATTTCTGATCTTTATTCACTTTTTGTTTTACACTGAAAACTCTTCAGCATCTGGCATATGGTAAGCATTCAGTAAATATTTACTGTATCAGGCAGTCACTCCTTTGAATATTTTTTCCCTTGGTAATGAAGACACTTTGCTGAAAATATTTGTTTGCCTCCTTGTAATTTTAAAGGAATAATGATAGTAAAAAATGTGTACAGACTACAGATATGTGTACAGACATAAAATATATATTATCTAGAATCTTTTGAACTTAGTGTCATAAATAGTTCATCAATTTTATCTAATTCATTGCATGAGCAGTTTTATTTGAAAACTTTGTATAAGATTAATGTACTTTGTGATAACAAAATTTGATCTGCATTTCCAGCAACATGAACTAGAAGAGTGGCAGTTGCAGCAAAGGCGGCAAGGATTTATTAATGCAATTATTGAAGAAGAAAGGCTAAAACTTCTCAAAGAGCATGCTACAAACTTACTAGGCTATCTCCCTAAAGTAAGTGAGATTTATCTCAAGCTGTAATCTTCATGACCTTCAATAATGAAAAAAACATGGTATTTGGATTTTAGAGTGCCTAGATTTTGCTCACTTCTTGCTCGGTTATGAAGCAGTGATGGGATCCTGTCCAGGCACTGAACCTCTCTGGGCCCATTTCAGTATATCTACAATGATTGGTCTTGGCACATTATTAGAGGTATGAGCTTGATTTACTGAATTTGTACTTTATTTATCACCCAGGCTGGAGTGCAGTGGCAGAATGTCAGCTTACTGCAATCTCCGCCTCCCAGGTTCAAGTGATTCTCTTGCTTCAGCCTCCTGAGTAGCTGGGATTACAGGCGTTTGCCACCACACCCAGCTATTTTTGTATTTTTAGTAAAGACAGGGTTTCGCCATGTTGGCCAGGTTGGTCTTAAACTGTTGGCCTCAGGTGATCCATCCGCCTCGGCCTCCCAAAGTGCTGGGATTACAGGTGTGGGCCACCACACATGGCATGAGCCACCACACAGGGTGTGAGTTTGTATTTTAGAGGTTCTTTTCTCCCCTTTTAGTATATGAAATCTAAAGCTACCCTACAACAACTGTGGTACTTATACGCCAAAGCTGAGAATGTGTATGAAAACATTGTCATTGGTAACACCAGTAATAGGAACATGCTTGAACCGAGTTTGAGACAGATCTGCTCTATAGTAGGAAGTTGTAACTAGTTAAACTTGATTTTTAAAATTCCAGAAGATAGTGAATTTTAATGTATACCTGAGACACACTGTGACTTCAAATAAAATAGTAACTGGCTGGGCATGGTGACGCATGCCTATAATCCCAGCACTTTGGGAGGCTGAGGCAGGAGGATCACTTGAGCCCAGGAGTTCAAGACCAGTCTGGGCAACATAGGGAGATCCCATTACTATACAAAATAAAAAGTTAACTGGATGTGGTGATGCACGCCTGTAGTCCTAGCTACTCTGGAGGCTGAGGTTGGAGGATTGCTTGAGCCTGGAAAGTTGAAGCTGCAGTGACCCATGATCTTGCCACTGCACTCCAGCCTGGGCAACAGAGTGAGACCCTGTCTTAAAAAAGTAGTAACAGTTTCATAGGACACATAAACATCTAGACTCATATAAATAAGATCACCATCTTTCAGCTATAGAAATGCCATTTCATATTTTATTCAGTAGAATCAAGTGCATATTTTACATTCAGTCTGGTGCTAAGGAAGGAAAAATATATAAAATATATAGGTAATTATTGCCTGGCCACAGGACTTTTGATAGTCTAATTGGTTACATAGGATTAAGGAATGCAAAATGATGTATTAATGATAAAATCCATATGTAATTAATAAATTTCATAAAATAAATTATAAACTATAGGAATGTCTTTGGGATGTGATATTTTTGTAGAGGAAATAATTGTGGAAGCAGCAGGAGTGATTAATAAACTTGATATCCAAAAATGATCTTTATCCTTTAGATCCTAATGGCGCCAAATGACCTCAGTTATCCTTAAAATTCTTTAGATTGCAAGATAAGTAAATATTTAATTTTGTTTTAAAGAGCCCTTTGCAGTATACTATAGGGGAAAAGAAAAATAGAACAGTGAAGAATTCCAGAGGGTTTGCTTTAAATGGCTTAGCTCCAAACCTGGATTCTTTTCTGCAAGACTGATTGATTGCTGATTAGCCATAGAACTGACACATGAAGAACTAATCCTATGCATGAATCTATCGAAGCTCACCCTTATATCATATTATAGAGCTATTTAGAGAAAAGGGTAGGGTACACTATAGATGAAGTGCCTTCCTATCTAGGTAATCCAAGCAGTAGAACTTGTAGAAGAGCTCAGATTCATATGACAAGCTCCTACACTAGAGCTGATAAATCAGAAAATTGGGTCAGTCTAGGAATATTCAATATATATGTAAAGTCTTATTTTGTTGAAAAGTGTTGATTTTTTTTTAAAGTTTCATTAATCTATTGAATAGATTTCATTACCTTGGCGATAACTTTACTAACCTCATGTCTTTGTCAGTCTTAAAAGCATTTAGTGAAATATTCTGGTATTCAAAAGTAACCCACAAAATATTTTTCTTGTAGGGAGTATTTAAAAAAGAGGATGATATTGATCTGCTTGGTGAAGAGTTTAGGAAAGTGTATCAGCAAAGGAGTGAAATTTGTGAAGACAAATGATAACATCAAAATTGGGTAAACCCTAGATTTTTCGTATGTTACCACTAGATGTCAGCATAACTTTGTTTTACAGTTCAGTGGCAGTAGGAATCCATTGTCTATTTGGATTTTGTAAGTCATCACTGAATTTATAACTTGTAAACAATTATCAGATAAAAATTAATTTTAATCAAACTGTTATTTTTTGTACTGATAACTTGAAAATTTGATTTCTACCACACTACAGAGCATTGTTTGCATCCCCATCCTCAAGACAGTATATGTACCTTGACTAATACAGAACTCTACCCCAAAGTGAACTAACTGCCTTCTCTCTGTATTTAGGAACTTTCCTTACTCGATTTAGCCAGGGAAATAAATATTTGGAATTTTCTTTTAAAGCATCTTTTTCGGTCTACTTTAAGGGAGGAGAACTGTAAATGAAAAGAGTCAAGAATTTTATTATCTAATGTGCTTAATTGTCACGTTCAGTAAGAACAAACTCAAAAATAGCTAATAAGTCATAAGATAGCAGAATCAAAAGTAAAATTGTTGCTTTATTTTACAAAATTTTTTCTAATAACTACATATTAGAATAATGCATCAGTTTTATATCTCCCAAATCTAAAAAGGGAATTCTTTGAAATTATTTTGATTTCATAATCAACTATATTACTTATGAAGAGTAAAAATAATTCAAACCATTACAATAAGTAAAATGGGTATCCACCACACACTGTCATAGAGACTAACTGAAGTAGGGATCACTTATGAATTTCCCCATTCAAGTGCTTTCATAAATTCCTCCTCAGTGAAAGACAGCATCTTGGCAGCTTCAATATGCATCTGTTAAAAAAAAAAATCAGTATTGTCTGATTTAGTATTAAGAATAGGCCACCAAACAACAGGAAGTTTGTAAAAATGTGTGGATAATATATTGTCAGAATGTAAGTTCTGTTGTAGGAATGTATACTGTTAATTCCAATAAGCATGATATTTGAAATGGTAGTAATTACATTCAAGGACCAACCTATAGAATACTTTTTGTCTAACAGTAGTATTCAACCAACTTATTTTTAAGATAATAATTCTATAATATTGTAATACCTGACCTTTGCAAAGAAGGAAAGTGTCAGAACTATGAATTTTTAGATAAAGCAGCAACAGTGGTTTGGAAGCAATGTTCACTCTAAGGTTTGAAGAGGCAAACAGTCCCCTAAGATAACAGTCATTCTTTAATGTGGTACTTTCTGTAGTTGAGATATACCTGTACTGTATTTTCCAGTCCCATTTTCTACACTAATTTACTTATGTGAAAATATCCACTTGCTTAGATGACACATACATAAATCTCACTATACATGTTAGATTTCATATGAATAATGCATTTTATATGAAATTCAGTGCCTAAAGATGTCAAAAATTAAACATACCTAAAGTGAAAAATGCTGAATTGTTTAGTAAGAAAGGTACAGATAATATGATGATTTAACTTTAACGACAGACTCACCTTTTGCCTTTTTAAAACATCAATTAATTTTAACTGTTTCTTGAACCCTATCATTAATTCTCCTTTTTGTTTTTCTAGCTTCTTGTTTTCTGATTTTAACACTTCAATTTTTTTATGTTCTTCATTTGCTATGTCCTACAAAAGGAAAAAAAAGTGCCATATATTCTTTTTTAATATACAGCCTTTCAATGGACAGAATTATAGACTACCATCACAACAGTAATAAAAAGTACTTTTTAAAACTGAAATATAAATTTTTTTGTAGATAAAAATTGCTTTCCATTATCGAATTACTGGAATTTGATAGCTTTTAGTCATGCTCAGGTATTTCCCATTTTTAAAAAAGTTTTAAAAATAACTCACTTCTAATTCTAGTAACAGCAAAGTAGCTTGTATTGAACCAACATAAACTCTGGATTTGTGAATTTTTAAAAATATATTTGAAGGCACAGATGAATAATCAATAATAAGTAGAAACTGGAAGTGGTATGATCTTTGAAAGAGCAGAAATACTGGTTTAGATCCACATTCAACTAGCTTCTCCTGAAAGCGCTTTCCAGTTCGTGGGTTCACAGAGATAAGAACTCAAGCAAAAAGTAGTAGTCTTATTGGACTGAGGAGTCAGAGAGCAGGGCTGCCAAGGTGGTACAAATTTTTAAGTAGGAAATTCTAGAAAAAAGAGACCCCTCAAAACATGCATACGTATTTCCCTCAAATGCTTGGCAGACATCTAAATACCATTTACAGGGTGAGACACCTAGGTACCTGTGAAAGGAAATGGCTGTAGTTTTTAGCTAAGCAGAGAATTTACCCACTTCCCATGACAAGGGGGAGACCAAGTTTGTAATCTTGGTAAAAATGGACTGGATAAGGTCTTTAGCAATTTGAGCAAAGCAGAAAAAGGGTCAGTAGAAATCATTAAGTATAGGAAGATCTATACTTGAAATGTTAAAGGAAGTAATTCATACAAAAGGAAAATGATACCAGAAGGAAATCTGAATCTCTGTACACACACATAAAAAAGATGGAGAAAAAAATAGAAATGGTAATGTGAAATCTATCTATAGATATGTGTGTGTGTGTATAGAATTTTTCTTTTCAAAAAAAAAAAAAAAACACCTCTTTAAAAGATACAGCGTTAGCAAAATGGTGGATTAGGAAGCTCCAGGCCTTTGCTCCCCCCATTGAAAGACTGAATATATGATATCCAGACCAAAGTAGCTTTGGGAGAGCTCTAGAAACCAGTCAGTCAGCAGAAGCAACCAAAAGAATGCCTAACTAAGAAAAGGCCATACTCAAAATAGTAGGAAATGTCATGGTGTTTTTCTTACCCTTTCCCCACATACTCCCTCGCACAGCACAGTCAGGAAGAAGCCACCCAATTCCCAGTTCCCTCCCTTGGAATGGAAGGAAAAGAGTAGACTTGCTTGCAACATTCTGGTTTTTCTGGGGCCTGCCTGAGGGACTGGTATCTGTCTTGCCTGACTCAGTACTGATGGGAACAGCTGCGTCATTTGGATATCAGGTTGGAAGCTGCAGAAACAGGTGGTTGGTACCACTGAATGTGAGAGGTGCAGTGAGTCCACAGAACTGCAGGAACCTGGTGGCAAAAAATTATGGGCAGAGGAATACAATACGGCATCTAAATCTGTGAGAAGTAGGTGAGACTTTTAGGTAATCAGGACATTTAAAAGAAGCCATGTGTATGGAAAACTGGAATAAAAACACACAGGCCCAGGAAAGACACATCCCCAGAAAAGGTTTGAGAGAACCTCAAGACTTTACACCACGTTGATTAGTGAAGGTCTTTGCTTGCATGCAGCCAGTCTGCAAGACTGAGAGAACTGACTGTTTTTTCAAACACCCATTTTTCAACGTTAAGATCACAAGACATCCAAAGAAACAGGGAAACATGGACCATATTAAAGGAACAAAATTAATATCCAGAAATTTATCCTAAAGAAACAAAGGCTTCTCACTTATTAGACAAGGACTTTAAAATAACTGCCATAAATATGCTCCATGAGCTGAAGGAGAATATTGACAACTAAATGAAATCAGGATACCTATATATTAATAAAATGAGACTATCAACAAAAATTACAAAAAAGAACAAAACAAATTCTAAAGCTGCAAAATACAGTAACTGAATTGAAAAATTCACTTGAAGGGTTCCAGCAGAACAGGTCTTATACTGCTGAACAGGTATAAGAAAGAATGAGCGAGCTTTCATACAGGTCATTTGAAATGAGCAGGTCAGAGAAGCCAAAAGTAAAAGAATGAAGAAGAAAAGTGAACAGCAGCTAAGGGACACCATCGAGTGGGCCAATATGTATATTAGTGTAATCTTAGGAGAGAGAGAAAAGGAGACAAATAACTTATTTGAAGAATTAATAGCTGAAAAATTGCCAAATTTAAGGAAAAATGGATATACAAATACAAAAAGCTCCATGAACTCCAAGTAGGATAAACCCAAAGAGACCCCACAGCAAGACACATTTTAATCAGTCGAATGTCAAAGAGAAAATCTTGATAGCAGCAAGACAAAATGGCTCATCACATGCAAGGGAGCATCTGTAAGATTATCAACAGATTTTTCAGCAGAAACTTTGCAGGCCAGAAGTCAGTAGGATGATATACTTAAAGTGCTGAAAGAAAAAACACCTAGAAGAATACTATATCCAGCAAAGTATCCTTCAAAAATGCAAAAGAAATAAAGACATTCCTAGATAAAAGCTGAGGAAATTCATTACCACTATATCTTCCCTACAAAATCCTAAAGAAAATCCTTCAAGTTGAAACAGAAGGATACTAGACAATAATGCAAAGCTATATGCAAATAATGAAATTCTCCAGTAAATGTAAATATTTGGACAAATATAAAGGCCTGTATTATTTTAATTTTGGTTGACAACTCACTTTTCATTCTTTCATAGAATTTAAAAGACAAAAGCATAAAACATACTATAAATCTTTGTTAACGGGTACATAACCTAAAGATCTAATTGGTGACACCAGTAAAACAAGGTAGGACAGGGGCTGAAAAGCAGTAGAGTCTTTATATATGATTGAAGTTGCATCATTACACAAAATGAACTAAACACTAAGGAAGGCAATAAGGGAGGAAATGAGAGGCTAAAAGTCCTCAAGACATACAGAAAACTGAACAAATAGCAACAGGCCTCCCAATAACTTTAAATGTAAATGGACAAAACTCCCTAACCAAAATAAATTGAATAGAAGAATGGATTTTTAAAAACTAAATTCCAACTTTATGCTGTCTGCATGCAACTAACTTTAGATCCAGAGATATGCATAGATTGAAGGTAAAAGGATGGAAAAAGATAATCTGAAATTTTGTAACCAAAAGAAAACAGGAGTGACTACAGTAATATCTGACAAAATAGACTTTAAGTCAAAACTGTTAAAACATACCAAGGACATTATATAAGAACATATGAGCCAAACAAAAGGGCCAGTTCAGCAAAAAGATAGATACAATTATATATGTACCAAACATTAAAGTGCCCAAATATATGAAGCATTGACAGACTTGGAGAAAAGACCACTCTACAATAAAAGTAGACTTCAATACCCCATTTCCCATAATCGATAGAACCACTGGATAGAAGACCAATAAAGAAATAAAGGACTTAAACAACATTACAGACCAATTAGATTTAAGAGACATAAAAAACAATTCTCTAACACAAAGGCATAAGAAGGATACAATGGACTCTAGGGACTTATGGGTGAAGGGTGAGAGGGATAAAAGATTAATTGGGTTCAGTATACACTGCTCGGGTGATGGGTATACCAAAATCTCAGAAATCACCGCTAAAGAATTTATCTGTGTAAGCAACACCACCTGTTCCCCCAAAAAGACTGAAATAATAAAGAAAAAATAGAATCATATGCCACAACAGACAAATATGGAGAGACAGGAAGTAGATTAGTGGTTGCCTAGGGCTAGAATGTGGTACAGGGTGTTGGGGGAATATAGAATGGCTGTGAATGGGTACAGAGGTTCTTTTTGGGGTGATAAAATTGCAAAATTGATTGTGGTGATGGTTGCACAACTTTGTGACTACAAAAAACAACTTATTTATATATTTTAAGTGGGCTGTATGGTATATGAATTATATCTCAACAAAGATGTTAATGAAAATAAATGAGAATACAGTTTTCTCAAGTGCACATGGAACATTCCCCACATTTTATAAGACTGAAATCATACAAATTATATTTTCCAATCACAGTTGATTCAAACTAGAAATCAATAGCGGATGGAAAACTGGAAAATCCACAAATATGCGGGGATTGAACAAAATACTCAAACTACCAAGGGCTCAAATAAGAAATCACAATGGAAATTGGAAAATAATCATGAGACAAATTAAAACAAAGCTACAATATGCCAAAACTATAGGACAGAGTATAAACACTGCTAAGAGGGAAATCTGTAGTTGTAAATGTTTACATTAGGAAATGGAACAGAACAGAGCCCTCAGAAATAACACCACATCCTAACAGCCATCTGATCTTTGACAAAACCTGACGAAAAACAAGAAATGGGAGAATGATTCCCCTATTTAAATAATGTGCTGGGAAAAAATTGGCTAGCCATAAGTAGAAACGCTGAAACTGGATCCTTTCCTTCCTCCTTATACGAAAATTAATTCAGGATGGATTAGAGACTTAAATGTAGACCTAAAACCATAAAAACCTAGAAGAAAACCAGGGGAATACTATTCAGGACTTAGGCATGGCAAGGACTTCATGTCTAAAACCACAAAAAGCAATGGGCAGACAAAAGCCAAAATTGACAAATGGTATCCCAATTAAATTAAAGAGCTTCTGCACAGCCAAAAGAAAACTACCATGAGGTGAACAGGCAACCTACAGAATGGGGAGAAAATTTTGCCAATCTACTCATCTGACAAAAGGGCTAATATCCAGAACCTACAAGAACTCAAACAAATGTACAAGAAAAAAAAAAACAACCCCATTCCAAAAGGGCAAAGGATATGAACAGACACTTCTCAAAAGAAGAATACTCATACAGCCCAACGACACATGAAAAAATGCCCATCATCACTAGCCATCAGAGAAATGCAAATCAAAACACAATGAGATACCATCTCACACCAGTTAGAATGGCAATCATTAAAAAGTCAGGAAACACAAGGTGCTGGAGAAGATGTGAGAAACAGGAACGCTTTTACACTGTTGGTGGGACCGTAAACTAGTTTCAACCATTGTAGAAAAACCTTGTGGCAATTCCTCGAGGATCTAGAAACTAGAATACCATTTGACCAGCTATCATTACTGGGTATATACCCAAAGGATTATAAATCATAGCTATAAAACACATGCACACGTATGTTTATTGCGGCACTATTCACAATAGCAAAGACTTGAATCAACCCAAATGTCCAATCAGTGACAGACTGGATAAGAAAATGTGGCCACATATACACCATGGGAAATACTATGCAGCCATAAAAAAGGATGAGTTTGTGTCCTTTGTAGGGACATAGATGCAGCTGGAAACCATCATTCCTCAACAAACTATCGCAAGAACAGAACACCAAACACACATGTTCTCACTCATAGGTGGAGAATTGAACAATGATTATCACTTGGACACAGGAAGGGGAATATCACACAATGGGGCCTACTGTGGGGAGGGGGGAGGAGGGATAGCATTAGGATATACACCTAATGTAAATGACGAGTTAATGGGTGCAGCACACCAACACGGCAAATGTATACATATGTAACAAACCTGCACATTGTGCACATGTACCCTAGAACTTAAAGTATAATAATAAAAACTTCCTTAATTTAACAATGTAGTTTATAGATAAAACATATGACAATAGCAGAAAGGTGGGGGGTAATGGAAGTATACTGCTAAAAGGCTCTTAAATTATTCATAAAATGCTATATTACTTGAAGTAGACAGTGATAAACATATATATATAACAAATGCTGAAATGCATACAAAGAAGTACAGATAATGAGCTAATAAAGGCGATAAAATGGAATCTTTAAAAAAGCAATTCACAAAGAAAGGAAAGAAAACATATGGGCCAAATAAAAACAATAGCTAGCTAACAGACTTAATCCCAACCATATTATTAATCATTTTAAATGTAATGGTGTAAGCACCTCAGTTAAAAAGTTAAGAGACTGTCAGATTGGATTTTGACAGTCTTTTGTTTTGACAGGATTTTGACAGATATTGAAGCAAAGTCAACTAGATGCTGCTAACGGGAAGACACAAAGGAGTTACAAGTAAAAGAACGGAAAAAGATAAGACAATGCTAACACGAACTAAAATAAAGCTTCAGTTGCATGAATATCAAATAAAGTTAATACAGGTTGAAGTCTGAGATCCAAAATGCTCTAAAATCTAAAACTTTTTGAGTGCTGACATGATGCTCAAAGATGAAATGTCCACTGTAGCATTTCTAAAACACTTCTGGTACCAAGCATTTCAGATAAGGGATACTCAACCTGTATCAGAATGCAGGAACAAAAATAAATATAAATAAATAATAAGAGGTCAATTCATTCAAGAGGATTTAACAATCTTCTTAGATATTGGGTATTAATACACCTAATAACCAAGTCTCAAAATACATGATGCAAAAATTGATAAGACTGAAAGGGAAAATAGACAAACTCACAGTTCTATTCAGAGTTCAGTACCCCTCTCTTTATCACTGACAGAACAAGGACACATAGAATACATAAGATACAGAAGTGTTGAACAACACTATCAAGCAATTTGACATAATTGACATTTATAGAATACTCCACCTAACAAATACAGAATGCACATTCCTATCAAGGGCACATGAAATATTTACCAATTTAAACCATATTCTGGGCCAAAAAAAGTATCCATGCATTTAGAATGATTCAAGTAAAACCAAATGCATTCTCTGTCCACAATGGAATTAAAAATCAGTAAGAATGCTATTTGGGGAAAATCCCCAAATAGTTGAAAAATGAAATGACAAACTTTTAAAGTTTGTCATGGCTCAGAGGAAATAAAAAAGAAAATTAGAAAGTATTCTGAATAGAATAAAAATGAAAATACAAAAAATCAAAATTGGTGGGAAGTAGCTAAGGAAATTCATAGAGAAACATTTACAGTATTTAAAATGCTTATATTAGAAAAGATGAAAGGATACAAATCAATAGTCTCCACTTCCATTTTAAAAAATTAGAAAAAGAGGCTAGGCGCAGTGGCTCATATCTGTTTAATCCCAGCACTTTGAGAGGTCGAGGCGGGCAGATCACGAGGTCAGGAATTCGAGACCAGCCTGGCCAACATGGTGAAACCCCCTCTCTACTAAAAATAAAAAACTAGCCAGGCACGGTGGCGGGGGCCTGTAATCCCAGCTACTCAGGAGGCTGAGGCAGAACTGCCTGAACCCGGGAGGCGGAGGTTGCAGTGAGCCAAGTTTGCGCCACTGCACTCCACCCTGGGCGACACAGCAAGACTCTGTCTAGAGGGAAAAAAAAGGAGAAATTAGAAAAAGAACAAATTGAACCCAAAAGTAAGGAGAGGGAAAGAAAAGCAGAAATCAATAAAAAAATAAAAAACCAGTAGAGGAAAATCAGTAAAACCAGAATTAGTAAACCTCTAGTGAGACTGATCAGAAAAAGTAAAAAAGACACAAATTATCAATACAAGAATGTGAGGGGGGAATGACCCACAGGAATGTAGGAGGATTATTCAAAGGAAAATAAGGAACTAGTGTAAAAAACCGTATGCCAGTAAATTTGACAACATAAATGAAATGGACAGATTCCTTGACCAGATACAAACACCCAAAACACAATAAAATATAGCCTCTATAAAGAATACTTCTGTATCTATTAAAGAAATAGAATTTGAAGTATAAAATCTTTCCACAAGAAAACCTCAAGCCCAGACGGCTTCACCTGTAAACTCTACCAGACATTCAAAGAGAAAATAATACCAACCCTACAAAAACTTCTCTGAAAGTTGAGCTTCTCCAGAAGAATGATTTGGAAGTTCATTTAATAAAGGCAGCATTACCCTGAAACCAAAACCAAAACAAACGCAAAGCAAAAAACCTAAAGATGAAAACAATGTGTAAGAAAACTAAAACAAGACTACAGACTAAACAGACTAGAACTATGTTCCCATGTATACAGACATTCACAAAAATGTAACCAATAATATATAAAAGAGATAATGATACACCATCACCAAGTGGAGTATATCCCAGGAATACAAGGTTGTTTTAACATTTGAAAGACTAAAAAAGAAAAATATAATTTCAATACATCCAGAAAAAAGCATTTGACAAAATTCAACATTCATTCCTGGTAAGATCTCTCAGGAAATTGCAGTCAGTTTTTCTAAAACTTGTGAACTAAAAATGATTTATTTTGAAGGTGTTAAATAAATTTTAAAAAAGAAAACCAGTGAAGAATACACAAGGGACCATATGTAGCCCACAAAGCCAAAGCATTTACTAGTTGGTCTTTTACAGAAAAAGTCTGTAGAAAATCCTAAGGCTTCTAGAGTAAGTGAGTTCAGCAAAGTTGAAGATATAGACTCAATCTGCAAACATAAATTGTATTTCTCCGTTATAGCAACAAACAATGGGAAACTGGAATTTAAAGAACATTTATAATATCAAAAATAGGAAATACCAAGAGGTAAGTTTGAAAAAAATGTGTAAAACCTGTATTCTGGAAACCATATATATATATAGTTCGAAGAAATTGAAGAAGGCTTAAATAAACAGATATTCTCTATTCATGATTTTAAAGACACTATTAAGATGTCAATTTTCCCAAAATTGATCTATAGATTCAATGCAATGCCAATCAAAACTCTAACATGTGATTCTAAAACTTACATGGAAATGCAAAAGAACTAGAATAGCCAGTTGTAATAAATGCTCATTGGATCTTTAAAAAAACAAAAGGCATTTATTGGCCATTTATTGGCTTGGTTACTTGCTCAAAGCACCATATACTTTCCACAGCATTTATTACAGTTGCAATCTTAGCTTTGATAGATTATATAAATTCAATAATTATCTAGGTTTTGCTTCATGGATTATCTAAACATTCAATTTCATTATAAGATAGGTGCACAGCTACAAGGATTACATCTGTTTTTTTTTTTTTTTTTTTAATTTTTATATCTTTACCCTCCACTAAAGGTCTGGCAGGTACCTAGCAGGCCCTCATAAATATTTCTAAATGAATTAATAAAGAATTAGAAATTACCTATTCCTAAATGAAGTAACATGAACTCTGGTGTCATATTTTAAATGGATTTCAAGACACCATCTAACCCAATGCCCTGTTTTTAGGTAGAATTCCAGTTAAACTATACTTCCATCATTCCTTCCTTCAGTGTGTTTCAGAGCACTCCTACAGCATCTGGTTTAAGTTTACTGACTTTTAATTTCAAAAGCTACTGTTACTTTAAAGCATAATTACTTATTTCCTAACCTCTGTGGAGAAAAAGTTTATCATTTTTTTAAAGTAGATCTTTAACTTTCTGATGATTATGAGGTAATCTTGTTCTATTTTTTGGAAACCTTACTATTTCCCTGTCATATTTTCTTAAATTTATAGACTTGAATAATTTTAATTGCCTGTTAACTATTATATGTCTATTCAGAATGGGAAGCAAAGTACAAATAATTAAAATGGAAAAAATACACCTGCTCACAAAAGAAAATTTATATACAGATTAGACTCTCTGGAAAAAGTTATTGCATATCCCAAAAATCTCCCTCAAAGATAAAGCCTAGAAATAGGCAAAATAATTGAAAATCAAAAGTTTGAGATACATAGTTTTTCAGAAACGTAAAATAAGTTACATTTAAGAATTCTGACATCAGACTGGGCACATGGCTCATGCTTGTAATCCTAGCACTTTGGGAGGCCGAGGCGGGTAGATCATTTGAGTTCAGGAGTTCAAGACCAGCCTGGCCAACATGGTGAAACCCCGCCTCTTCCAAAAATGTAAAAATTAGCTGGGCTTGGTGGCGGGTGCCTGTAGTCCCTAGTACTTGGGAGGCTGAGGCAGGAGAATCGCTTCAACCTGGGAGATGGAGGTTGCAGTGAGCAGAGATCACGCCACTGTACTCCAGCCTGGGCGAAAGAGCAAGACTCTGACACACACAAAGAATTCTGACATCAAAAGTCTACTTTCTAGTAAATAGTGGGCTGGGCACAGTCGCTCGCACCTGTAATCCCAGCACTTTCTGAGGCCAAGGTGGGAAGCTTACTTGAGCTCAGGAGTTCAAAACCAGCCTGAGCAACAAAGTGAGACCCCCGTCTCTACAAAAAATAAAATAAATTTTAAAAAAATATTTAAAATATGATAAATAGTAATGCAATATATACACAAAATGTTATCCCACTGTGTTTAAATCAATTACCCATAGTGCAGAGCTGAGGACAGAAGTTTGTGTCTTGAACACCTCTAGATTATTTTTAGTACTGATGGTTCTATTCCGAGTTGTTCACATATCAAGTCCTCATTACTTGAATTTTCAAAATGGGGGACTAACCAGGGAAACAGCTTGATCCATGGAGAATGAAGAAAAGACAGTACAACAGTCCACCCAGGAGTAACACAGAGCCAGAGGATGCTCCCCCGCCCAGGGAAGCAGTGAGTGAATGTGTGATGCCGGGAAACCACACTTCTCCCAGGGCTGTTTGTAACCGTGGGTCAGGAGATCTCTTTGTGAACTCACTCCACCAGGGCCTTCAGTCTGACTGACAGAGCTACTTGGAGTCTTGGCAGAGCAGCCACTCAGGTATGCGTGGAGACCCTGGAGCTTAGATACTGGGGCTTTCTGGCAAAAGTAGCTGCAGCTCCTGCAAAGTAGGAGGTTAGACCCACATATATACCCTTAAGAAAGAGAGGCTCAATCTACAGGGCTGAGCGATAGCCTGCAGGCCCCACTTCCACGACACCTCACAAGATAAGACCCACTGGTTTGGAACTCCAGCCAGCCACTGGTTAGCGGCATTGCACCTCCCTAAGAAGGAGCTCCAGGGGTGGAGAGGGAGCTCTTTTTTAAAGGAGGCATGGGGTGGGCTGCCATCTTTGCTGTTTGGGCAACTTAGCCATTCCAGCCCTCCAGCTTTGCAGAGTCCGAGCCAACCAGGGGCAGAAGGGCTCCGCCAATACAGCACAGCCCCTCTCCCAAAATGTGGCCAGAATGCTTCTTTAAGCAGGTCCCTGATCCCATTCCTCCTCACCAGGCGAATTCCCCCTGGGACAGCACTCTCAGAGGCAGAGGGGCAGGACACCATCTTTGCTATTTGGGCGACTTAGCTGATCCAACCTTTGGGCCTCAGAGTGTCTGAGGTGACCAGGTACTGAAGTGGAACACAGCATAGCTACTCTACCAACATATGGCCAGGCTGCTTTTTTCAACAGGTTCCCAAATCCCCTTCCTCCTCACTGGGTGGGACCTCCCAACTGGGGTCTCCAGCGACCTCCTACAGGTCTGGCAACAAGCCCATACCTCCCTGAGATGAAGCTCCCAGAAGGAGGGACAGGCTGTAATCTGCTGCTTCACAGCCTTCACTGGTGATACCTCCAGGTTCTAGAAAATCCGAGGTCACTAGGGACTGGAGCAGGCTCCCAGCATACCAAAGGAGCCCTATAGAAAAGTGGTCAGACTGTTATGTGGGTGCCCATTCCCATATCGCCTCACCAGGAGGGTACTCTAGGCCTGAGCCTCTAGCCACCCCCTACCAGAGCTATCAAGCCAGTGGCAACTTGGCAACTCCCTGGACAGAGCCTCCAAGGGCAACTGAAAGCCTCTCTGCCACTGCCTCTGCAGCTGCCCTTGCCACCCTCAAACTAATGAAGAAGCAAAGACCCTAAGTCCTTTATCCATACCTCCAACAAGCTGCAGTCAACCCAAGGAGAGGAGGCCAGTCCCTCTCCCATGGGTCTGACAACACCCCAACCCCCACTGCTCATCATCAGACAGGGAACCCCTGGCTTGGGCCTACCGCACAGACCCACCATCCTGGGCTGATTGTACTAAGCAATTGCTGACCCGCATCTCTCTGGGGTGGAGCTCCCAGTAGACAAGCAAACAACCTCTGGTCACAACCACTACTAAGATCCCTTCCTCTGCTTCCTCCAAGTTGGGGAAGGAACATAAACACTGAGATAGCCCCAGAACTGCAGTGGGCACCCCAGGAGTGCCAAGTTGTGATCTACAGCCAGCACTCAAGCAAAGAG